GAGATTATTTCCGAATTATCTACGTATCCAAACACCATTCCTGTATTAAAAGTAAGAAGATTAAATTACCGAGTTCGCAACGAGGACAAAGTCAGATATGAAAGCTCTGAAAGTGTCGTAATCACATTTGACGGTCAAATTCTTCCCTCGAGGGTTTATTTATGCTATTCTTCCATTCCTGTTGAAATTTATAAGCTTCCAACGATCCAATGCTTTCAGTGCTGCAGATTTGGACATACTAAAGATTTATGTCGTTCCAAGCCAAGATGCTCAAAATGTGGAGGTGATCTTCTTGCGACAAAGATAATGGATCTTTTCGTTGCTTATTTTGCTCAGGTAACCACAAAGCCACAGATTCGAGATGTCCTGAACACACAAGACAAAATAATATTAAAATTGAAATGGCACAAAATTCTATCTCATACCTAGAAGCATCTCAAAAATATCCTCAAGCTTCTTCAAAATCATATGCTGATGTTTTGATTTCTAAAATCCCTGAAAATTCTTCGCTTTCTACTAATCCTACAATGGGTAATTTTCCTTCCAACCCCGCTACATCTTATAAAACTTCTTATAAGAAATCATTATATATTCCTAAACCATTACGTCACCATTCACAAACAGGTACACAAAAAAGTCATCAAAAAATTATTGAAGATTTTTCAATTCCGCAACCTGAGGATGGTTGTGCTCTTCGGGTTTCACCAGTTGCTTCACAGGGTAATTTTGATTCTGTAGAAAGCATTATAAGTTTCCTTATTAACATAATCATATCTTCGTATTCGTCGAAGCTACCGTCCCACGTTGCACGCTTACTAAATTCTATACCTAAAATTCTCCAAGACATTCACTCTCACAAAGATCCTTCAATGGAATTGTAGAAGCATTTTAGATAAACGTACTGAAATTATCTATTTTTTAAATAAATACAATATTTCGCTACTATTTCAGAGACATGGCTAAAACCGGATTCGAACATCAGAGTACCTGGTTTTTGTCTTGTTCGAAGTGACAGATCTGATGGTTATGCCGGATGTGCTTTGCTTATAAAAAATAATATAACTTATCCATTATAGATGTTTATGATGAAATATTTGACTTTAATATTGTAGCAGTAAGAATTCAAAATATTACTTTCGTTTCTATTTATGTTCCCTCCCCTTCTGTCCATACGTTTCGCAGAATAAAATCTTTAATAGCCTCCCTACCCAAACCATTCATAATTCTTGGTAACTTTAATTGTCATCATTATTTATGGGGTGATAATACTGATAAATATGGTAGTTTATTAGTTGAAATAATTGACGAACTTAACATTGGTGTCCTTAATACTGGTAAAATTACCAAACGCTCTCGTCCTAATGAGTCTAGAAGTGCTGTAGATTTATCAATTTGTACTCCTGATTTAACCACTCTTCTAAATTGGTCAGTTCTAGATAGCTCTCACGGCAGTGACCATTTTCCCATTCTGATTTCCTTTCCGAATAAAGAATTGGCAGAAATTAACAAAAAACCATGTATTAAAATACAAATTAGACAGAGCAGACTGGAACCTGTACAATATTTTTCTTTACAATGAAATTCTAAAAATTGCTCCTATTTCTGAAAATAATATAACTTCTGTTGTTGAAGCATTTACAAACGCAGTTATAAATGCAGCTGATCAAACAATTCCTGTTAAAACTCTAAATAATAAATGTAGGCCCTCCCCTCCATGGTGGGATTCTGAATATACTGAGGCCATTCGTAATAGGAAAAAAGCCGAAAAACAATATAAATTAGACATTTCGGAAAACTATTCATACCTTCAACGTGTACAAGAAGTGACTAAAAATACTCTTCGCACAAAAAAACAAACACGTTGGCATGCCTTTTGTTCCTCAATTTCTCCTTCAATACCTTCATCAGTTGTTTGGCGTAATATTAAAAAATTTCGCTGTTGTTTTTCATCTTGTTCTTACAGTGGTGCCATTCCCACTCAATCTATAAACACTTTTCTGGATAAACTTGCCCCCTCTTCTGCTCATTTGAGAGAGGAGCTACCTCAAATTATTCCATGTGATTCTTTTTTTGATCCCTTAGAACGTCCATTTTCTTTATATGAATTAAAGCTTGTCCTTTCTCACGTTCAAGATTCAGCTCCTGGTTTAGACGGTATTCCATATTCACTACTTGCCAAATGTAATGATCAAATTTTATCCTACTATTTAAATATCATTAACGTTTTATTTGACATAGGCTTTGTTCCTGACTGTTGGCGGACTCAAGTAATTATTCCTATCTTGAAACCTGACAAAAATCCTAACGACGGCTCTTCTTATAGACCGATCGCTCTATCCTCAACTCTAATTAAAACCTTTGAACATATGATCAAGAACCGTCTTGAATGGTATGTAGAAAGTCATGGATTGTTATCAAATACCCAATATGGATTCAGAAAAGGTAAAAGCACATATGACAGTCTATCTTCACCACAGATATTAGACTAGCATTTTCGAGAAATGAATCGGTCCTTGCTGCTTTCCTTGACATTTCTTCTGCTTACGATAATGTCAGACACAACATCCTTAGAGAAAAGATGTTTAAGCTTAATATATCCAAAAAACTTACAAATTTCATTATCAATTTATTTCTAGATCGATATATACATATTAAAATTGACGATGATCTAAAATATACTCGAAAGGTTTTCAAAGGCCTTCCACAAGGCTCCGTTTTAAGTCCTTTATTATACAATATTTATACGTCAGATTTGGACCAGTCTATTTCAAAGTGTAGAATTTTGCAATATGCTGATGATATCTTAGTTTATGTTAATGATAAATGTATAGAATCTTGTGCTAATGCGATAGAACAAGATCTCCTCTCTATGGCTTCTTGGTTAGATGATCATGGACTAGAACTTTCCCCAAATAAAAGTAATACAGTAATTTTTTCGCGCAAAAGAGTTTTACCTGAAATCCAAGTTCGCCTTTTTGATTATCCGCTCGTAAATATTCAACAAGTTAAATTCCTTGGTGTAATTCTTGATAATAAATTATCCGGCATGCCTCATATCATTTATACCCAAAAAAAATGCGAAAAAAATATAAACATTCTTAGAGCTTTGTGCGGGTTATGGTGGGGCGCTCATCCATATTATTTAAAATTAATTTATAATGCAATTATAAGAAGCCGATTAGATTATGCCTCATTTCTTCTCGAACCAGCTAGTAAAAAAGGATTAAAAATATTAGATATCATTCAACACAAGTCTTTAAGATTAATTTTAGGTGCTATGAATTCGTCGCCTATAAATGCCTTGCAGATTGAATGCGGTGATCCTCCACTTTTTATTAGACGACAATATTTATCGGATTCCTTTTTTTATCGGGTTCTTCAATTTTCAAACCATCCATTACTCCCTAAAATTCGTTTGCTTTCTCAGTACATTTCAATTAATTCAGGAAAATACTGGCGTAATAAAGAAAACAGTTAAAAGCTATGAACATTATAATTCCTTACTAGATCCTATTTATAGGTCGGCGACTCTGCCTCTTTTCTCCAATTCATTTGAAGTTGCACTTTTCAAACCCAATGTTATATTAGATATAGGATTAAATAAATTTTCTATTGAATCAAATAAAAAATTTGTATTTACGTTGGACAAGAATTTCCCAGATTGTCATTATATTTTTACAGTTGCTTCTAAGATTAACTCAAAAGGTTGTACTGGATATGCAATATAGGTACCATCAAAATTGGAGAATAGTTCAAAAAATGAAAAGTCCTCCCGAATCTTCAGTTTTTACTGGAGAAATGTTAGCCATTTTACAATCAATAAAATATTGCTATCTTTTTAAATTAAAATCAAGCGTGATATTTTCAGATTTTCTTAGTTCTTTACAAGCATTGTTATGTAATCCTTTCTATGACATTTCCCGCAATCCTTTGATATTTGAAATTAAGAAACTTCTATTCTTATACCAATTCCAAAACATCAACATTTCTCTCGTTTGGATTCCGAGTCATATTGGTATATCTGGTAATGAATATGCTGACAAACTTGCTAAACAAGCTATAGTCTGTGGGGATACTTTCTTATTTAAAAATTATTGCTATGACCTTATAAGAACTACGAAATTAGTATATAGAGATAGATGGTCAAAACATTGGAACAAAACCATAACGACAAAAGGCTGTCACTATGCCAAAATTCAACCCATCATTCCTTCTAAGCCTTGGTTTTATAAATTATCCTTAAATAAGAAACATACATCAATGTTATGTAGAATGCGCTTGGGTCACTGCTGTAATTCGGTTCACCTTGCTAGGCTTCATATTAAAAATTCTTCAATATGTGAATGTGTTTTGGATATTGGTGACCTCAACCATATTTTCTTCTCGTGTCCTTTATATGATCATACTTCATTATTTAACACTTTGGTAAATCTTAAAATTCCTCTTCCTACAGAAATTTGTCTCTTTTAATTTTTTCTAAAAAAAAGTAAAAATGTTTTCAATTGTATTATGGAATTTTTAGATTTAAATAATATTAGTTTATAAAATTTTATTCATTATTTAGCAATCAACCGTCTTTATTTAGTAATACTTATTATTTTAAATGTGGCATTGAGTTTAGTATTATTTTAATTCAACCTAACATCCATCATTTATTTAATATACTTCAGTACAAGTCATTTCATGATTCATTATTATAGTATTCTATGGTTCTTAACATTATGATTTCGGTTTTAATCGGAATCGTAGTTTCTCTTTAGATTGTCCGTCGTTTCATTTCAAGTTACAAGTATTTTTATTGCCTGGAGGTTGGCAGTAATTGTTAGGTTGCCATATTTTAAAAAAAAGTTAGAAGTGTTCACTATGGTCACTGAGTACGTTAGGGTTAGTACTCTTATTAGTTTGTGGTCACTGAGGTTTTTTTACACCCTTATAGTACTTCGTAGTTTATGAATGTAATTTAAAAATTAAGTTTAAAATTTGCTTTAAAACTCATCGCAATGGGATCACGTCAAATAACAGAAAAATCATTGTCGATGATAAGATCGCTGCCGAGGATATCTCTTGGTAATATACGTGACAATCCAGGCTCTAAAATAACCGTAAGTAAAGGTCTTCAAGATTTCTCGATGAAGTCATTTATAGGTCAAAGAAAGGTACTTCTGTCGTTACCGATTTCTATTTCCAAGCAGCAGTTAGCAGTATTATATTAAAACGAATTGAAAAGATATTTCAACAGAGCGCTAACTTCTCCGTCTGAATTTTGTCCATACCTACCTCCAAACTGCTGCTTGCTACAATGCAGTCAGTATAATTACAGCCCACTCCATTCAACCTTAGTGCTCAAGGGTGAGAATCTGCGGCTTTATTTGTATAGTTATTTGCAAGTGTTTATGGGCTGTAGTAGCGAATTAACAATAGGTTGACTGTTAGCTCCATACCACTTTATTAGGAAGAACAATAATTTTCTAATGTCAAATTTATCTTTATTAAAATGAGGATGAAATAGCAAAGGAGATAGGCTGAAGTGGCAATAGCTGCCATATAGCTTGTAAAACCAACAAGGTGATGTTGTGACTAGAATTAAGAAAGGAATGATTCAGTGGTTAATAATATAAAAAGAGTAAGGAAAGCAATTCCAAGCAATTTTTTGCTGCAAAAGTGAGCGATAGAGTTGGCAAGAGATGCCTTAAATGGAAGTTTAATGTTGGGTAAGGATTCTGCCAAATTGAAGTATTTCTGCCTACCCCTCAAGGTGATTGATGGACGAGAGAGCTTAAGTATGTATGTATGCAATCAACAATTGATTACAATTACTATTTAAAACATTACTTATTAAAAATGTATTTATTGCTTTTCGAAGTATTCTCTGCGAAATTTGACACATTTTTCCATACGATGGAACCAATCATTGAAGCAACCATTCCATTCGGAAGTAGAGATCTCCAAAATGGCCGTTTTGTAGGCGTCCACAGCTTCTTCAGGTGATGAAAATCTCTGTCCACGCAATTTATTCTTTATTTTTGGGGAAAGTATAGAAATCATTAGGGCTTAAGTCGGGGCTGTACTTCGAAAGTCATAATAAATCTTCGCTCTTGAATTTTCTCGAGTCAATTCCATTTTCTCAACGACTAAACAAGTTTGACAAAACCTTGTGACAAGACCGAGAATCCTTTTTTAAAGAAATAAATGGTATTCGATTTTTAAAACCAAGGAGTTTTCAATTAAAAAGATTTTAATATGACAGGAACAGTGGAAATATTCCATTCCCGATACTTTTAGTGCAGCCTAGGTAAAAACATAATTATCAGGTTGCGATCACCTAAGCTTGATGACACCTTTTTCATCTTCATCATCATTACAGAACATCGTGTACCCAATTGAATGTCACAATGCACTATCCTGAGCCACCTGGATCTGTTCGACACACTATATACCAACATGTCACTTCATCTAGTTGAAGTGTGGGTCGTCAAACACTACACTTACCATTACTAGACTACCACTTCAGAACCTTATTTGACATCAATTGTTGATTGCATACATACATACTTAAGCTCTCTTGTCAATCACCAATTGAGGGGTAGGCAGAAATACTTCAATTTGGCAGAATCACCCAACATTCTTGTTTATATTATATATATATTTGACAACCCACACTTCAACTAGATGAAGTGACATGTTGGTATATAGTGTGTCGAACAGATGCAGGTGGCTCAGGATAGTGCATTGTGACATTCAATTGGGTACACGATGTTCTGTAATGATGATGAAGATGAAAAAGGTGTCATCAAGCTTAGGTGATCGCAACCTGATAATTATGGTTTTATCTAGGCTGCACTAAAAGTATCGGGAATGGAATATTTCCACAGTTCCTGTCATATTAAAATCTTTTTAATTGAAAAGTCCTTGGTTTTAAAAATCGAATACCATTTATTTCTTTAAAAAAAGATTCTCAGTCTTGTCACAAGGTTTTGTCAAACTTGTTTAGTCGTTGAGAAAATGGAATTGACTCGAGAAAATTCAAGAGCGAAGATTTATTATGACTTTCGAAGTGGTTTAACACAAAAACAGTTTATTGACTGGATGGATGATTTCTGCATTTGGTGATGAAGCCCCATCCAAAACCACAATTTATCGCTGGTTTGCTGAACTTCAACGTGGACGTGTCAAGCTCAGTGATGATCCCCGTTAAGTTCGTCCAAAAACTGCAGTCACCCAAGGAAACGTTGCTGCTGTGCGTAAGCTGATTGTGGAAGATCGACATGTGACATACCGCGAAATTCAGGCAACTTTAGACATTGGCATGAGTTAAATACAAATAATCTTGCATGAACAATTAGGTGTAAAAAAAATTGTTTTCCTGATGGATACTGCATTCGCTCTGTGAAGAGCAAAAAGCGGCTCGCGTTACTTGGTGCGTCAGAACTCTCGAAAGATTCCACGCAGGATCCTCAAATGCTGTACACAACATCGTATCAAGTGACGAATCCTGGATATACGCGTACGAACCCGAAACAAAAAACCAGTCACGAGTTTGGGTGTTCGAAAATGAGTTAAAGCCAACAAAAATTGTTCGCTCACGGAGTGTTGCAAAAAAAATGGTGGCCTTAAAAGGGTGGTCCTCTTGAGGGACAAAGAATGGTTAATGCTGAATGGTATGTTAGCATTTGTTTTCCACAGGTCGTTTCTGAACTCCGTAAAGAGAACTGCAACCGCCGCATCATCCTCCATCACTACAATGCGAGTTTTTAGAGCAAGAAAACATAGAATTATTAGACCATCCGCCGTACAGCCCCGACCTAAGCCCTAATGATTTCTATACTTTCCCTAAAATAAAGAATAAATTGCGTGGACAGAGATTTTCATCACCCGAAGAAGCTGTGGACGCCTACAAAACGGCCATTTTGGAGACCATGGAGTTCCATCGTATGGAAAAATGTGTCAAATTTCGCGGAGAATACTTCGAAAAGCAATAAATACATTTTTAAATAGTAATGTTGTGTCACTTCCTTGATTCCCGAAATTTTCAGTGCCGCCCTCGTATAATCATAAATAATTGTTCAAATTAGGTACGTTGAGCGCCTAAGTTGACGTCTGGCACTAGCGCCATCTAGTGTAGGGTAACAGAGCGAGGAGAGCTTTCCAGAAATTGGCATGTCTAATCTTTTAACCAACAGCGCCATCTAGTATCGAGTTGAAGAACTAAGCTTTATAGAAGGCTCACTCGAACTTTCGCCGCCTGGTCGGTTGGCGCGCGTATTTTACTTGAATATTCTGGATGTTTTGGTGAAAAAGGTGCATTTTAAAGGCTCTGCAATACGCAATAGGGGCAATATTGAATTTGGCGAGACAAGCGAAGCTTCGGAGCGAAATAAAGTGAATCAGTGTGGTTAATTATTAGTGTTTTAAGTTTTAATTTTGAAAGTGTAAATTTTGGTTATTCTTATTGTCACGAACCTAAAGCTCGTAACAAGTATTTGTTATCTTGTCTTTTTCTATTGTCATTTATTGAAGAGTGAGCGAGCTATACATGAGATTTATCTGCGCGATAAATTTGGAAATGAGGATATCCACAGTAGAAACAGTGCTGGTGAAGTGACAATGGGCCTTCCATATAGCTTAAAGAAGTGACAACTGATGGGGAAGAACGGTTCTCGAGTGGTAGCCTCACATTATTAGGGGAAGTGTAGGGTGGTCACTCACTGGATGGAGTGATGGCCTGGTAAGATATGTGGGAAGTCGATGGATGCAGGTGACTCAGGACCATGCTTTGTGACATTCCTTGGGAGACTTATGTTCAGCAGTAGACTTGTGAAGGACTGTAATGTTGATGATGATAAAGAAAGAGAGGGAGCAACTTTAAGCATTTCTTATACTGATGTTGTTTTTTGAATTAGGCAGTTAAGGGCTAACAACTCATTTTAGATGCCAAGGCTTACTTAAATTATAAAATATATAGTATTTGCGTATCATACTATGTCATGTAATATAACAACTATTTCATTTTAACATTGAATAATTCTAAAGAATACACATGATGCAGACAAATATTTAATTCAAATGTTACTTACAGCAAAAACGTGGGCGTGGTCAACATAGAGGAGACAAACATGGTGCTGGTAATAAGGGTTCAGGTCAACGGCAGAATTATATGAGACTGGGTTACGAAACTGGAAATAACCCCTTTTATCTTAGAGTTCCTAGTGAACCTTACTACAGAGGACATCAGTAAGTTCAGGGATGGTCTTGATATATCTATTTCTTGAAAATGTTATTCTAATTGACCCACTTTTGTTTTTCTTTTAGCCACAGAAGACAATATCCACCATTGTCACTATTGGAGCTACAAAGCTTAATTGACAAAGATCGGTTAGATGTTACAAAACCAATTGATATTGCTAGTATTATTAAATCAGGGTTATACAACATGTTTCCTGATCAAAAACAGTTTGGTATACATTTAACAGATGAGGGGCTTGATATATTTGCGGCAAAAATAAATATTGAGGTGCAGTGGGCAAGTGAACAGGTAATTGCTGCTATTGAAAAAAACGGGGGAGTTATTACGACTGCTTATTATGATCCCCACAGTTTATTTCTTTTGAAGAATCCTAAGAAGTTCTTTGAAACTGGACAAGCTATTCCTAGGAGAATGATTCCTCCGCCTGATGTTATTGAATATTATACTAATCCTAAAACTAGAGGTTATTTAGCTGATCCAGAAAAGATATCACATGAGAGATTAAGATTAGCACAGAAGTATGGTTATGAGCTACCAGAGTTAGAAAATGATGTATCTTATAATATGTTGATAGAAAGGAAAGATCCTAGACAAATTTTCTTTGGATTGGAACCTGGATGGGTCATTAATTTAAAAGATAAATGTATCTTGAAGCCTAGAGATGAAGAATTACTTAGATTTTATTCTTCATAGTATGAATAATTATTGTATTAAGATGTTTTATAAAAGTAAAAATAAAATATTTTAGAGCAATATCAAACCCTTTATTTGAAATTGTTGCAAAACATACAAACATTGTTTACATATAGTGAAAATGCATTAAATTTGTTTTATTGGCTTTAGTTTGATCACGCAACATTTTATAGAATTTTGAATTGTGCAAAGCGGAAATTGCAAAATTTTGGAAATGGTACATAGACACTTTCTTCTTAAATTTAATATTCAGTACCTGTAGTGATCTGGTTTGAATGGTCCATCAATTGGTACACCTATATATTTGGCTTGTTTGGGGGTAAGTTTAGTAAGCTTGACACCTAAGTGATCTAAATGAAGAGCAGCCACTTCCTCATCCAATTTTTTAGGTAGTGTATGGACGCCAATAGGATATGCATTATGTTTTGTCCATAACTCAATCTGCGCTAAGACCTGGTTAGTAAATGAATTGGACATAACAAAAGATGAATGACCTGTAGCACATCCTAAATTAACAAGTCTTCCAGCGGCAAGAACGATAATATGATTTCCATTTTCTAGCTCATAGCGATCTACATGTGGCTTAATATTTACTTTTTTTGCATTTTTATCCAACCAAGCAACATCAACTTCACAGTCAAAATGGCCAATGTTACAAACTATAGCATCATCTTTCATTCTTAGAAAATGGTCCTTGCAAATAATGTCTATATTTCCTGTTGTAGTCACAAATATTTGACCTATTTCAGCAGCTTCTTCCATTGTTGTTACTTGGAAACCTTCCATTGCTGCTTGTAGTGCATTTATAGGATCTATTTCAGTAACAATAACCCTGCCTCCAAAACCTTTAAAAGCTTGAGCGCATCCCTTTCCAACATCTCCATAACCACCAACTACACATACTTTGCCTGCAATCATTATATCTGTGGCTCTTTTGATTCCATCTAACAACGATTCTCTGCATCCATACAAATTATCAAATTTGCTTTTAGTCACTGAATCATTGACATTAATTGCAGGCACTTTCAAATGACCTTCACGGAACATTTTGTATAAATTATGTACTCCTGTAGTTGTTTCTTCAGAAATGCCTTTCACACCTTCTAAAAGATGAGGGAACTTTGTGTGTACCAAGTTGGTCAAGTCACCTCCATCATCTAGAATCATGTTCAATGGCTGAAACAAAAAGTATATTCAATGAAGCAAATTATAAAAAAAATTATGTAATTTGCTTGTTTTTATAGTGTTACTTACTTTACCATCAGGGAAAATAAGTGTTTGTTCAATACACCATATATACTCTTCTTCAGTTTCACCTTTCCAGGCATAAATAGGAATCCCTCTAGCCACAAGCGCAGCTGCTGCCTCATCCTGGGTGCTGTATATATTGCTACTTGACCATTGAACCTGAAGAAATAAAAGATTTACAAATTCTATTATATTTTAAAACATTGATAATTTAAATCAACAAGCTGACACGGCTGATGTTTTTCCGCCATTTCCAGTAGGTAGAGCGATAAGTTTCACTCCCAAACTTTAATTGTAAATATGACATTTATTAATGACTATGGTACTAAATAGGTGTTTTCCGATCTTGCCCAGAGTGAATATTAGTCATTTTAGTTTCACAAGTAAAGAATTTGTCAATAATTTAACTATAGCGCTGCTACCTATCGGATTCTAGCATAGCTAGGAACCATCACTTCGACAAAAACAATCTATGTGCTAATAACATTATAAAGTTGCAGCCTCTAAATATCCCACAGCTAGGCACAGGCCTTCTCTTATATCTGAGGGTTTTAGGGTGAAGTAATGACATGGAGATAAAGTAAATTAAATATTGAAGATATTAAATTTAATTCAAAGGAAAGTAGCAGACTTCCAAATGTGTTCGATATAAACAGGGTTACTGGAAACTCGACGTATTCCTGACTGGACGTGACAGAGGAGTCAAAATGCAACAAATTTTACCTACATATGTATAGCGAATTGAAAGTGGTTCCCAACATTTTTTTATTTTAGATTTTTTAATAAATTACCCAGATTTCTTCATATTTACCAAAATTTAAAAAAATCTGCTTATTGAATGGTATTACTATTTAATTTTATTCAAAGCTGACAGTTAGATAAAGCTACAAAGCTCATTAGTAATCTGAAATCACTTAACACTTTAAAGTAAAGAGCCAAAAATCAGTTTCAAAATTTTAAATTGTTATAGGTTAATACAGACTCATATCTCAAAATTTTACTATGGCACTAAGTGTACAAATCACCTAATTATCTTCTTCATTTAATAAGCTATCCAAAAAAGTATGAATGTCAGTAGAAACTTATGAAGTACATAATACAATTCACATTTGACTTAGTGAATAAAGAGTAAAGAAAATCCCTTTTCGTTTATCTAGGGTCGTTTTTACCTGCGCTTGACCTCTAAAGTCACCGGCGCGCTTTGTGATTGGTCGCTATTGTTCACGTAGGGCATGATCGGGATCCGGGCGTCGCAAAATTGTTATTACCATTATAGTTCGGCCGTTCAGAGAATGCGTTCCTGACACGTCGCGATTGAACTGACGACGTAACTTTGTAATGGCGTTGCAGTTACGATAAAAATATTTTTGCTGGTTGTTTACCGTTTTAACAATTGATGAGCATTAAAACAACATTATTATATCAATAATCAATGAATGTTATAATTTTGTGCCAAACTGAGTGTCAAATAACTTGGTAAACAATATTTTTCTAAATATATACTGCGCTATTACAAGGTTATGTCAGCGCTTTATATTTGTAGTGCTGTGCTAACAATAACAGGCAATAACAGTATCGTAATCTGTTCTTATACAGTTATACTTTATAAAATAATACGTTTTGTTTTTCTTTTTAAGAATTTGAAAATAATGGACGATAAGATAACTTTTATTAAATATAAAACTACCACAAAACCGAACGCGCGAAAGAAAGTAGCATTTTTATATTTAGGTTGAAAATGGTAACCCCAAATGGCGTTATGGGCCGCCATTTTGTGACGCTAAAACAGCCGTCTGTTGTCGTTTCGTGCGCATAGTTCTTCAAGTGTTTTCAATCTGTTTTTAATTGATTACCCGGCTTTCGCTTAATGGACTGTTTCTGCTTTTCAAACTGACATCGGCGCTAAATCGGACTTCGATTGTGTTTTGTATTGCGCTCTTTTTACTTTTGGTGCATAATAATGCCTAAACGTGAACAAACACTGAAAAGTGGAGCCCGTGAGTTAATCATCAAGCTGCAAGATCACTTTGAGCGGGAGCGGCAAAATGGCGGACCCCTGTTACCTGTCGAACAAGTACAAGAACGCGTCTCTCAGGCGCTTGGAGTTAGTAAACGAACGATAACAAATATTAATAAAGAAAAGTTCGGCTCTACTGGCACGGAAGATAATGTTTTACGTACTCCGAAGAAGAAACGTAGAAGTAAACCCGTGACAGATATTGACACCTTTGACGCCGATGCAATCAGAAATCATATATATGGTTACTATTCCAGAAATGGATATCTCAACAGGAAGAAGCTTTTGGTATCGTTAAGAGAAGCTGGACTGTTTAGCGGGGGTAAAACTGCTTTAACCAAAATCTTAAAAGATATTGGTTTTTCGTATAAAAAATAGACAAAAGAAAAATTTTATTAGAACGATACGACGTAATTTTAAAACGGATAAGTTTTTTGAGAGAAGCAAAAAATATTGATAACTGGGATAATGTCGTATTCATTGACGAGACATGGCTAAACGCCAATCACACGGTTTCCCGTTCTGATACACAAGCGTTGACGTCTAAAGTACCAATGGGTAAGGAGGCCCGTCTGATAATATGCCACGCAGGTTCTGCAAAATACGGCTTTGTGGAGAACGCGTTACTGGCATTTCAATCAAAAACCACAAATGACTACCACGAGGAAATGAATGCCACTACACTTAAAGAGTGGTTCCAGAACGTGCTTTTGCCCAGCCTACCAGAGCCATCTGTAATATTCATGGATAATGCCTCCTATCACTCGGTTCAAATACAGAAACCACCTACCCAAGCTAATAAAAAAAGAAATGGTGGCTTGGTTACGAGCAAAAGGCATTGACGCAAATATGCAGATGCTAAAACCACAGCTAATTAAATTAGTTAAAGAAAATAAAGCGGCAAATGTGCGATACGAAATCGATGAACTGGCTCTTGAGTACGGTCATCGCGTTCTAAGAATTCCACCGTATCACTGCCAATATAACGCGATTGAGCTAATCTGAGCTCAAATAAAAGGTTACGTCGCCCGCCACAATACTTCCCCGCCATTCAGCACGAAAAAGATGATGACCCTATTAAAAGAAGCCTGCGGGGAAGTCACAAGAGATGTCTGGGCAAAGGTTGTTGAGAAGACTAAAAACCTGATTGTGGAACATTTTGACCGAGATATCAGGATTGATTCGCGAATTGACAAGCGAATCGGAGTCTGATTAATATTCTGTACGCACATTCAATTCAATTTACTTTATTGCATAGAAATATTCATTGTAACTTTGTAACAAAGAATAAATAAAACAATTTTATTATATTAATATTACCTTTTTTTGGTTTCCACTTAAATTACTAAAATATAAATTTTAAATGATTCCGCCAATTTAAAACCAATTTAACGCGGCGGTTCATTTTGGAGGAACGGTAACGAACTCAGTGTTATGTTGTGCCCATCACTAGTCGTGACTAACTGATAGGTGTCAGGAACGCATTCTCTGAACGGCCGAACTATGGTTCGTTTCAACTCTACTTCGCGCAAGCAAGTGTTTTGTTAACTGGCTACTTCCCTAATTTTTGCTGAGCATTTCGCCCTGTGTTGTGCTGTTTTGTGTGGAACTGACAATGGCTGCGTATTCTAATCCTGAATACGCTGACATCCTGTATTGTTACGGGTTGTGTGATGGTAACGCAGCTGAAGCCCGAAGGGAATACCAACGTCGTTTTCCCAACCGCCGTCTACCACACGTCAGTGTCTTCGGAGCGACTTATCGGCGGATATCTGAAACCGGCAGCGTTAACAGAAGGCAGAGTGACACTGGTCGTTCACGGAGGTACACAGCTGAGGACGAGGAGGCGATACTGCAACGCTTTATTGACGATCCTAATACCTCGACGAATATCGTAGCGCGTGAACTTGGTATGTCACAGTGGAAAGTCTGGTCTGTAGTACATTTATCTGGCCGACATCCATATCATTATCAACCTGTCCATTTATTGGAAGAGTGAGACCCGGCGAAAAGGCTTGAATTTTGTCGATTTATGCTAAATGCCGATGCCGATAACGAAAATTTTTCAAAAAACATTCTGTGGACAGACGAGTCATGTTTCGACCGTGATGGTATTACAAACTACCACAATTTGCATTACTGGGCACCAAAGGTACATGGAAATCCAAAAAAACTGAAACCGACCGCATCCCAGCGCAGGTTCTCAGTTAATGTATGGATGGGTATCATCAATGATAATTTAATTGGCCCACATTTTTTACCAAGAACTTTAAACGGAGAACTGTATGAAGACTTTTTAAAAAATCATTTAGCGGCATTGCTGGCAGATGTCCCTGATGAAAGAAGACAGAACATAATTTACCAGAGTATGACGGATGCCCAGCCCACTTTCGAGTAACAATCCGACAATTGCTCGATGAAAATTACCCGAACCGGTGGATAGGGCGTAGTGGACCGATTCCATGGCCGGCACAAAGCCCCGATTTGACGCTAGATTTTTACATCTGGGGTCACATAAAAGATTTTTGTGTGTGTGTTTATGTGACTCCAGTTAATTCAGAAGAAGAACTCAAGCAGAGAATAATAAATGCGGCGGATCAGATGAGATTAAATTAATCACATCAAGGATCACAAAATCGGAAATACGAAAGCGAATTCGAACATGCATTCGAAACCGAGGGCAACACATTGAACAAGATGTGTAATTAATTAAAACAATGTACAAAAATTTTGGAATAAGGTGATTTGATTATAATTAAAATTAATAATGTCTGAGTCATTGTTTTAATTTTCCCCAATGAGCTCTACCTGCACTAAGTCAAATGTAAATTTTATTATGTAGTCCATGAGTTTGTATTGACATTCATACCTTTTTGGATAGCTTATTAAATGAGGAAGATAATTAAGTGATTTGTACACTTAGTGCCATAGTAAAATTTTGAGATATGAGTCAGTACTAACCTGTAACAATTTAAAAATTTAAAATTTCGTAACTGATTTTTGGCTCTTGACCTTAAAGTGTTAAGTGATTTCAGATACTAATGAGCTTTGTAGCTTTATCTAACTGTCAGCTTTGAATAAAAGTAAATAGTAATACCATTCAATAAGCAGATTTTCTTAAATTTTGGTAAATATGAAGAAATCTGGGTAATTTATTAAAAAAATCTAAAATAAAAAAAATGTTGGGAACCACTTTCATTTCGCTATACATATGTAGGTAAAATTTGTTGCATTTTGACTCCTCTGTCACGTCCAGTCAGGAATACGTCGAGTTTCCAGTAACCCTGTATATATTTTTTTAATTTCTCAGACATACAGGTTTTATCACTATGTTTTCTTTAACCAATGAGCACATGGTAAATCAGCACTTAAAATCGCAATTAACAATTTCATTGTTGTTAGTGGGAATTGAACCCAAATTGCTCACATATTGGATTTACAGGTAACAACATTATGTAGTATAACAAATATTGTGTAACGATGAATAATACAAAAATGTTTACTCATTTATTAAAATATCATTACACCAATATCACACCTACAACGATAATTGTTGGAAACACTGCTCGAAGTTATTGACAAGTATGTAGGACAAGATTCTCGAGCAGCCTCGTATTGGCAAGAACAGTGATAGGCGACCACTACTAGTTGGATTGACAGCCTGACGAAACACGCTGGAAGTCAATAGATGCACATGGCTCAGCACTACTTTGTACTATGATATTTTTTTATATGCTATTTCAAAATTTTATATTTAAAATCAGTTTTAGAATTAGAATTCAGAAAAAATATAAGTTGTCATAATGAGAAGGTGAGGCCATCCTTTATATTGTAGAAGAAAAATAATAGAATATCTTTTAATCAATTTGAATTACAAGAATACTTATTGAAAGTTATTTATGCATTTACCACTGTTTTGGAAAAAACCTCTGTCCTGGGAAGAACCAGCAAGAAATCTAGCAGAATTTTATTTTTAAACATTTACAATATGGTACAATTAAATATAAAAACATTTAGAAACATCATGGTAGCTATCACCTCGTTCTCAGGTGTTATTAACAATCATGTACTTTTAAAAAGTATAATAAACTTTATTAAGCAATTTTTGCTTAGTGAAAATTTTAAACTTCAATAGGTCCTGCATATTTTCTGGGACTTATGCATGTATTAAAAAAAGATTTTTAAATAAAGAGTATATTAGTTAGGCTACAAACATTAAAATAATTATTCCTTTTAACAACTTCAGATTAAATTAGAAACCTAAAATGATTTTATCCACAGTAAATCCAAAATTTTTTGAGTTCACGGCTTGTACCCTACCTTTAGGCTACTAATAGTTAAATTACTTAATTATGATAGCATGATTTGCTACATGCAGGAAAAATACTAGTGTAAGGATAAATGGCGAAAGTGTGTTTTATTGCATCTTACACTAGAAAGAGCCGAACAATCAGCTTCAGCTTTCACTTTCAACCTAAACCAGAACTTCAATTGGAACTAATGTACTTTCCAACAAAGTAAGATAATGTAAGCCAGCCCATGAGTAAAATTTAGGGTTATAGAATTTTTGAAAGGTAATTAAATTTTTATGATGATCTTAGTAATAATTTTTTTACTATACCTTATTATGACTATTAAACTTTAGTAACTACTTATGAATTTGAGATTATCTTTTCATCAGAAGTCTTTTCCCCTCCCTTTATAACTTATTTAAATACAAGTACTATGGTTTCTTTAAAACATCTTACATCACTCATACTTTAGATCAAAGGTGAGAGATAAGACATGTAACCTCGAGGCAATTGTCAGAAGTAAGTGAGATAAGGAATGTTTTAAAGATGACTAAAACGAAACAAATAGATATAGTTCAGTTATCTGTTACATCAGAATTTAGTTGTTTTTTTACTATGGGCTTTGTTATTGTGGTAAATTTCAGCATTAAGTATATACGATATAAAACAGAATGAAATACACAATTTATCTAAAAACTGGTATAAATAATTGAGTATGATGATTGATTTACATCTTCTTCATATATTCTATTTTCTCCTATTTAATAAATAAATTTGAGAATATTATATACCTATTGCCGAAAAAATATTTAAGTAGTATATAATAGTAATAGAAAAAATGTGACAAGATTTTGCAATGGGACTAAATTAGACGATTATTATGTTAATCTACTATAATATGGCCATAACTCAACATATAATACTTACTTCTGCTCCTAATTCAATCAGAGTTTCTATTAATACCGCAGTCTGTACTGTCATATGAAGACTGCCAGCTATTCGAGCTCCTTTAAGAATCTTGCCAAGTGCATATTTACGACGACAAGCCATAAGACCAGGCATTTCTTTTTCTGCCAGCATGATTTCATTGCGGCCCAACTCTGCTAAGCCCAAGTCAGCTAAAATACGAAAAGTATGATGAGAACATGAGAAATGAAAATGATTGAAATTGATACAAAAAAAATTATACCTAAATTGGTAATTATTACTTCTATTTTTAAACAATATTAAAATAAGGTTTAATTAATATATCTTAATCTTTGTTATTGTTGGTATTGACGACACATGGGATTAAGATAACCTATATTATTACAAGAAATACCTAACAAAAATATTAAGTAATTATACTTAAATTTTAAGCAAAGTAACAATAAATGATTGAATTTACTTCGTACAGCGTGCAAGTTTATTTCAAATACCTAAATAATTTAAAGTTTACCTATTTTGTACGGCGGCTTCATTTCGTAACTATAAAAAATAATCTGTAAAAAATAAGTTTACACAATGATTTAAGCTTATAATTTAGTTGAGATTAAAATAATATTTTTATTTTATACAAATTCTGTACATCAAAAAATTTAACCAAACCACCTCTTAATTTTCTAACCGCCGCACAACACCACCACCACTTGATTCTACCACAGACACAGACGACAGACTCATAGAACGTGTTGGAATGTGTATATACTAGGACAGACTAATTTCAGTTTATACAAAGGTACTCTGTGAGACTAAGAAATGGATTCAAAGACAATATTAAGTGGATTCTACCGAATGATTCTACCGATAGGCGTGTACCAAGAGGTATTCTTTAGGGAACCGACTCACTGATCCGAATCACTAAATTGATACAAAAGCGTGGTTCAGTAACAACGTCTCAAAGGCATCATTTGGATCGGAAACATTGCTTCGACGCATCGCTCGCGAGGCGACTGAGCCGCGAGCTAGAGAGTGACGAGCTGGCGAGAGAGCACTGAGAGCAGGGGAAATAATTACAATCTACATCAAGGCGAAATAACTCAACTCGTAGGAATTTTCGCTATAGTTATTCATGCACACAAAAATGACCACTAAGGCGCTTACGTGTCAAATACTATACGGTCGTTTTTTTCATATAACGTTTGCATTAACAAGTTGTCATTTTACGTTGATCCGGCACTTGTCAAACCGTTTATGTTCGTTCGCGCCCGTTTACGAAAACATACTGAGTTCTGTTTAGGATTTCTTTGCGTACTGATTATTGTGACTTACTTTCTTCCTTTTCGTCATAAATAATACGCCAGCTAGCCATAAATTAAGGACTAGCCGCTAGTCCTAAGCCTGGATAAAGAATGAAGGAGGAAAAAAGTACACAATAAATAACAATAAAAATAACTACATAATATATAATTATAAGCACTAATATTATTCAGCATTGTTGCCATATAACATTTCACTGAATCAGTTAGTAATAAACGCCCGCGACGCAACTTAATATATTCGTAACATTCTGCATTTTATATCTTTTGAGTCGATGATCCAAATGAGCCGAATGAAACATATCACTGTTTCGGAACGTTTTAGTGGTCGAGATGCAAATGTTCCAATTGTAAAAATGATACACTTCACCCACATCCACTACTGAATATTAATATATCCACACGTCTACTCAAAGAGCATTGCTGCCAACAACTTGAAACCTTATCGCCTTGGATCGCCATTTTTCACAGCTTTAGTAGCCTAATGTAGTCGAATTTGAGCTGAGGTAGCCTAAAATAACTCAAAAGTCAAAATCTCGCTACGAATAAATAACAATAATAATAATAATATAAAATTTTGCTGGGACAAATGTCAGTTTGTCCCTACCGGTTATAGCGCAAAAACTGACGGAGCGCATAGATGATCTGAAGCAGAGAATCGCTGCTTGGGGAAAGTGGATTCGGCGATATACCGAGAGGTCGACTCGGTTCAACCAGAATCGTCTCTTCCAGAGTGATCAGAAGAGGCTCTATGAATCACTGGAGCAACCAATGGTAAGTGGAACGGGCCCAGCACCGAATCAGGCCGACACTGTAACATTCTGGCGCAGCCTGTGGTCAGAGCTCGTAAACCACAGCGAGGGCCCTTGGACGGAAGTTGTGGCGAATCAGTGTGCGAATATAACGCCCATGGACCCCGTCATTATAACGTCGGATGACGTAGCTGAGGCGGTCCGTAGGGCTCCAAACTGGAAAAGTCCGGGACTCGACGGGCTGCATCAATACTGGCTGAAGGGCTTTGTGGTGTGTCATACTATGCTCGCCCGACAGTTCCAAGAGGCTCGCAACCAGAAATCGATCCCGAGCCTCTTCACTACTGGGATCACTCATTTGGTTAATAAAGACCAGGATACCACAGACCCGAGCAAATACCGCCCTATTACGTATCTACCGACCATATACAAGACACTAAAATCCATTTTGAGCGCGAGAATCACTCGTCACCTGGACTCAAATCAGGTGATGTCGCGCGCTGAAATTGGATGTCTGGGCGGTGGTCGTGGAATCAAGGAACCACTTCTCATTGACGCGGTCATTGGCAAAGTGGTGAAACGCAACCGTCGGAACTTCTCCGCTGCCTGGATAGACTACAGAAAGGCATTCGACTCGGTGCCCCATACATGGCTAAAGAGGGTCCTCGAGCTGTACAAGATTGACTGTACAGTTAGAGACTTCCTCGAGCAGTATATGGGGTAGTGTATCCTTTGTCATCTGGGCGAGCGAATGACGGCTGCGGAAAGCCACATAAGGATAAGAAGGGGTATCTTCTAGGGCGATCGTCTGAGTCCAATCTGGTATGGATGACCTCAAGTTATTCGCCTCCAGTCGCTCCCATCTTGTGAAAGTGCTAACATCACTTGTGAATTTAGCAATTCTATTGGAATGGAGCTGGGGACGGATAAGTGTGCGGTCCACCATGGTGAAAGGGGAAGGGTTGCTAACTCTGAGGGCATAGACTTATCTATGCCCATCAACGTAAAGACCCTTTCCGAGGCTGAAACATACCGATGTTCTGTGACATACCTGGGTATGTCACAGAACATCGGTATCGATGAGGCTGGTATGAAACAGTCAGTTTGCGACGTATTTTATGTACGCTTGACCAAAGTGCTTAACAGCCTTTTGTCCGGTGTGAATAAGACTCACGCATATAACGGTTGGGTCATGCCTGTCCTCATGTATACCTTTGGCATACCTCAGGTGGCCTCAGACTGAACTTAACGCCCTGGATGAAAAAGTCCGCACTACTACCACGTCCCATAGGATGCATCATCCGAGATTGTTGGTAATGAGGCTGTACTTGCCGCGACAGCATGGTGGGCGTGGCTTTTTGGGCGCGCTCACCATGCATAATCGCGAAGTGTGCAGCCTCTGTAATTGCTTCCTGGCAGATCGTATGATCCATTCTATAAGGACGTCATTTCTTGTGATAAATGACTTACCCATCTATTCGTAGCCAACAAGCAATGGCAAGACCCGGCAGTGCAGAGCATTTCCGAGCGGAAGAGCGTATGGTAGAAGAAGGGGCTCCACGGGAGGTTCTACAAGGCTCTACATAAGCCTTTCGTAGACACAGTAGCCTCTATCCACTGGCTACGCTTTGGCGACCTCTTCGGGGAAATCGAGGGTTTTGTCTGTGCAATACAGGATCAGGTTATTAAGACCAACAACTATCGGTATATACGTCCTAAATGATGGCAACGTCGACATCTGTCAAGCTTGTCGCCATCCCAGTGAGTCACTTAGGCATGTCATCTTCGGTTGTTCGGCGCTTTCAAACTCTGAGTACTTGCACAGGCACAACCTTATTGCGTCTATAATAGATACAATCGCACCTCAACTATCTATAATTTTTAATAGTAGTATCAAATCTGGTGTGTTTGCTGATTTAATGAAGCATAGTAAAGTAATACCTTTATTTAAATCTGGTAGTACCTTGGACCCCGCTAATTTTAGACCTATTTCTGTACAGCCAACACTTAGTAAAATTTTTGAAAAAATTATTCTTGATCAATTGTTAATTTTTTTAATGTAAATAAATTACTTCATAAAAATCAATTTGGTTTCACAAGGGGTCGCTCGGCAACTGATGCTGGTGTTGAGCTGATTAAATATATATTTAATGCATGGGAGAATTCACAGGATACTTTGGGTGTGTTCTGTGACCTGTCCAAAGCCTTCGATTGTGTTCACCATGAAACATTAATCAGGAAACTTCAACACTACTTAAATTAATTATTTCATATTTAAGTGACAGAACACAAAAAGTTGTTATTAATAGTATGAGTCCTTCCGGGTCGATTGTACAAATGGGCGTGCCTCAGGGCTCAATTCTCGGCCCCTTTCTGCTTCTTGTATATATTAATGACTTACCTTACATAGTAGGGGATAACCATGATATAGTATTATTTGCTGATGATACTTCATTAATTTTCAAATTAAAACGACAGTTATTAAATTACGACGAAGTAAATAATGCTATAGCTAAGTTAGTCAATTGGTTTAATGTTAATAATTTGCATTTGAATGGAACTAAAACTAAATGTATGAAATTCGTAACTCCTAATGTTAAACATGTCAATACTAATGTAATTTTAAATGGGGAGGAACTGAGTCTTGTCGATACCACCATTTTTCTTGGAATCACACTGGACGCAAAGCTTCAATGGCTCCCCCCATATATCAAAACTAGCTAGCGGACTTAGTTCTGCAGCATATGCTGTAAAAAAAGATTAGAACTCTTACCAGTGTTGAAACAGCTAGAATAGTTTACTTTAGTTATTTCCATAGCATTATGTCGTATGGTATTTTGCTATGGGGACACGCGACTGACACTGAAATTATATTTATTTTACAGAAGAGGGCCATTAGAGCAATATATAATTTAAAACCAAAAGAGTCACTGAGACAAAAATTTAAGGAAATTAATATATTAACTCTGGCCTCTCAATACATTTATGAAAATGTAATGTACGTACACAAAAATAAAAGTAGTTTTGCGAAAATAAGTGATATTCATTCTGTAAATACTAGGAGCAGACACAAGCTGGTAGTACCAGTTACTCGACTCCACCGAGTCAGTAATTCATTCTTGGGGCGATGTATACGCTTTTACAACAAAATCCCAGAAAATATACAAAATTTGTCATACACAAAGTTCAAAAATGTTATTAAACTAAGTTTGTATAAAAAGGGTTATTATAATATTAAGGAATTTATAGATGATAATAACCCCTGGGAAGGGTGATCGCTACCAAGCTATTTCTAATTTGTCTTCTGTTTTTGATTGTAAACATGATTGTAAGCTATTATTAAAAAAAAATAGTCCCGCTGGGTTTCTTCCTGGTTCTTCCCAGGACAGAGGTTTTTTTTGCGAACCAGTGGTAAATTTAAAAAGTGACTTTCAATAAGTATTTTTATAATCTACATTGAATAAAAAAGTTTCTATTTCTATTTCTATTTCCTAGTAGCCAGAATTCTTCAGCAGGAGCTCGCTCTGAAATACGGTCTCGTGGACCGGAAATTGCCGTATTACAAGTACTTGCCAGAAGCCGTACTCGAAAATGAT